GCCATTAAATCAGTAGGGTTGCGCTTAGAAAAACCGAAAGGCTGTAGGCCCCGTATAATTGTAAAAGACGTACCCGGTTCTATGGAAGATCGTGCCTTCCTAACAGCCTTATACCGTCAGAATATCAAGGACGAATTAAAATTAAGTGAGAACGATTTTATTAAGTCAATCAAAATTGTTAGGCATCGTAAACTAGAAAATGGGCGTCAATGGATAGGCTTAGAATTAGAGGCAGCAGTTCGGAAACATCTAGCCAACACAAAAGATAAACTTTATATAGACTGGGCCACATGTAGATTCATAGACGATATAGAAGTAGTTCGTTGCTTAAATTGTCAGCAATTCGGTCATGTACAAAAGTTTTGCACCATAAAAACCCCTACTTGTGCTAATTGCGCCGCCGCACACGAAACGCGAGCTTGTCCAGATAAAGACACACCAGATTTTAAGCCCACGGGCGCACAGTGTAAGCGGTTCAAAAAACCATCTGACCATCGATGCGGCTCATACGACTGTGCCACATACAAATTAAATCTGGAACAGCTAATATTAAATACCAATTACTGAATAGTTTACCTTAGTTAAAAAAAAAAAAAAAAAATGTTTAAAGAGTAACTTACTAAGTAATGAATAATATTTCGATAGGCCAGTTAAATCTTCATAACGATAAAATAGCTACATCAGAATTAGACCGTTTAATTTTAGAACAAAAGTTAGACATTGTCCTTTTACAAGAACAATATCAGAGCGCTCACTTGCGTCGTAATGTAGTACAGCTTGACTGCCGTTCGCAGGCTGGGATATATGTTGCAAGTTCTAATTTTACGGTAACATCTTTGCGTAATCTTATGACGTCACACTGCGCCGTTGCTGAGATCTCATCCTCTACCTGTAAGGTTTACGTAGTGAGCTGCTATTTTCAATATTCACATCCTATTGATCCTCACTTACATCACTTACGTTACGTCTTGCAGTTCCTCGTGGGACATAAAATTATCATTGGCGCTGATGTCAATGCGTCATCTTCATTGTGGTATGGCAAGTTGCGTTCAACCGACACGGTTCGACGTTGTGCGGTTGAAGATTTCATTGCGGAAATGAATCTTATTATTCACAATACCCCCGATGCACCACCAACTTTTTGCAACCCAATGGGTGAGTCTTCTATTGACGTGACGCTTACGCGCGGCGACGTCTCGATATCCGGATGGCGTGTCCTTCCGGACGCATCCTGTAGTGATCACCGCTTGATCGTGTACGAATTCATACCAAGGGTTTCACAGGATCCACAAAGGGCTCCCTATAATTTTAGATATAAAACTAAAGGTGCGAACTGGGCTTTGTTTGGTTCACTCTTTGCAACTCATACCAAAGACTTCAGTCGCAGTAGTTTATCAGCTGAGGAAAGCGCAGAAATACTATCAGAAACTTTTACATACTGCGCTGATGTAACTATTGGTCGCGGATCTATCACTAACACTCGTAGATGTGATTGGTGGAATGATAGATTAGCCGAACTACGTAGAAGCTACCGGAAAGCTCGTAGAAAATTAAACAATATTAAAAAACATAACGTAACAGGAGATTTGTACAACAATGCTCTCATTGCCCTTAGAGTTGCCAGGTCCCACTACAGAGCTGCTGTGGAAAAATCCAAGGGAAACTTAATTCAGAAACTTGTTGATAAACTCGATAGAGAGGGCCCGTGGTCACCTTTGTATCACGAATTTAAGGCAAATAGATCAATCGACCTTGCATACATACAGAACATCAAAATTGATAACAGATATACCACAGGAGTAGAACAAACAGCAGCATATCTTTTAGACTCACTCGTACCTGACGATCGGCCGGAAAACGACACTGATCATCACCGACAGATCAGGCAGTGGGCCATCGAACCACCACTGTCTCCAATGTCTGATTTACCATCTTCAGACGAATTTCTCGGTATCATTAGATCCTTGCCGCTAAACAAGGCTTCGGGCGATGATAAAATATCTAACAAAATGATAAAAGAAGCTTGTAAACTTTCGGGTGACACGATTTTCACTGTCTTTAAACGTTGCATTGCTGAAGGAATATTTCCTCGTATATGGCGGTGCGGTAATATTCGTATAATACCAAAAAGTGGCGACAAGCCACCGGATGATCCTAAATCCTACCGACCAATCACATTGTTACCATCGTTAGGAAAGCTTTTAGAACGTCTTGTAGTGCCCCGGCTTCTGCCAGGTGGAGTCAAATTTCATGATAGACAATTTGGATTTACTTTGGGTAAATCGACAACTGACGCTGTTATATCGGTTAGAAAGTTTGTCACAGGGTCAAAATTTCAATACGTGCTGGCTATTTTCTTAGATATATCTGGCGCCTTCGACAACGCATGGTGGCCCATGCTGTTTCTGAAATTAAAATTACGGGGGTGCTTTAAAAATATTTATTCCCTTATCTCTTCGTACTTTTCACAAGGTACAACTAAACTAAGACTTGGTCATCATTCTGTGTCGAAGGCGCTTACAATGGGATGTCCTCAGGGATCGGTGCTAGGTCCATACTTGTGGAATATCGGCTTCGACGATTTTCTTGCGATACCAATACCATCCGGATGTACTCTGAACGCGTATGCTGATGACGGCTTATTACTGGTGGAATCTGATACTAGGGCGGGGCTTGAGAGATTAGCCAATAGATGTTTGAACTTGATATCTCAATGGGGTGAACGTAATCGCTTAACTTTTGCACCCAACAAAACCTTCCAGCTACTTTTAAAAGGTAACCTCAAATCACCGCCGAGCATTAGATTTGACAATGTTACTGTAAAAAATAAAACCACAGTGTGTTATCTAGGATTAGTTTTAGAAAGAAACTTTTCATTTATCGAACATATTAAAATAGTTAATGAAAAGTCAAAAAAGAGTTTCTGTGCATTGACAAGGATATCAACTGCGACATGGGGTCTATCATTTAATACATTAAAGATCATATACGGAGCTACTTATTTAGGTTCTATGTGCTATGGTGCACCTGTATGGGCCGATAGGGCGACCGTAGGCGCTGTCCGTCGCAAACTGTTACAAGGCCAACGACTTGCACTGATATTTTTGTGCAAGGCATATAGGACGGTTAGCACTGAGGCTTTGCCGGTGTTGGCGGGTGTGCTTCCGGTCGATCTCGAGGTGCAGAGACGTGCAGCCATGTACTATTCAAGACAAAACATGGAATGCGATTTTTTGGGCGCGCGGGATCGCGGTAAAATCACAAGATTGCTTCAACAGCAGTCCGATGTCTATAATGACCTCATAGACGAATGGCAGCAACGCTGGGACGAATCATCCAAGGGGCGCCATCTTTACCAATTTTTTCCATCTGTTCGCGAACGGTTGTCGAGGACATGGCTTGAGGTGGATCACTGTGTCGCTCAATTTCTTACGGGTCATGGTAACTTTAAGAGCAAGTTGTATTCATTTAAATTAGTCGAGTCACCATTGTGTCAATGCTCAACACCTAACTCTCATTATGAACAATCTGCTCATCATATCCTCTGGGAATGTAGTCTTTGGTATAATGAACGTAATACAATGCTGAATAGCTTGCAGGTGACATCTGGGGCGGTATACTATGGGGATCTTGTGTCAACTAGGGTGAATTTCCGTGCGTTTAGGCGATTCTGCCATACATATTATAGAAATCAAATATAGCTCATGTAGGACCCGTAATATTTTGTGGCCGTGGTGCTTCCCTGTTTAAAAGGGTGTATGCCTATTTTACTTCATTTTGTCTCCCGCTTTGCTAAGGAGGGAAGTGGATTTACTGTATTTCCAACTCCTCCAATTTTCTTCTGATTAATTTCGTTGCGGGTTCCAAGACAGTTTAATTTCTTCCTGGGACTTCCCGAGTGTCATAACTCGGTGTGTTCGTGGGTCACTGCTGTGGATCCTGGTGTACAGGAGTTACAGTGGTGGGCGTGTGGGTGGGATTAGTCCCAATAAAATATACCAATATATATAATATATTGACCCGGCGAACTTCATACCGCCATACTTTTATTTTCGTGAATATTTTCGAAATTCCTAAAAGGCTTGTTTTAATATTTATGTCCGCCTCGGCATCACACGCGCGATTGTAGTCGCGGACTATTGAAATGTCACACTTCCGTTAAATTTAAATAAGTTGGAAGTTCTTATATAAGAGACGTGCCAGGAAGGTAGTTAACAGATATTGAACGATAATAGTTTAGCTTTGTAGAGATACTGTGTATTATACGAGTATACCAATCGACTAGAATTACACGATATTTTATAATAGCTAGGTCTATACCAGGAGTAATTTACAACATCAGAAGGATATAATAATAAGAATAATTCAGTAGTCAAAAAGGCTTACAGTTTACAAAGTAGTAACAGTACCTAATAATCCTCGCCGTCTATTCAAAGTTAGGATGGAGATGCGGGGGCGCAAAGTAATCGTTCTATCCCAATGCGTTCCTGCGTGCTGCCGCCGTTCAACCTAAATTATCGCCTCTTCAAAATGTGCTAAGGAGGACAGATCTGCTGAAGATATTAGATTTAACTCTACAAAAAAATTGTAGAATTAAAAATAATTGTCGTAATAATTCTTGTAAAGTGATCGTGTGAAGCGATACACTCGCTTATAAACACTTATAAATCATAGATTTGATTAAATCAGATAAAGTGTACATGATTTTGATATATTTATCACATAATTACACGTTTGGCGATACCTGATGGCAGTACATTGGAAAGTGTCGGTGCTAAGAAAGCTAAAAGGATTGGTATACCACGTGGTGTGATTAACGTAAATATATGTTGATAGCGGATGAATTAAATATTAGTGCTATTACACTAAACGTATTTTATTGTTATTTATAACTGTTTTATTAACTTAACAAAATTATAAATACTTATTTATGAATAAAATGTAGTTAAACCTATGGAAATGACTAGGCGTTGGGATCCCTTGGGGCAATATAATCATTGTCATCGTTGTCTCATGGATTCCGGCAAACCGATCACCTCAGCTTCCTCCAGGGTGTCAGGCAACTTGGTCCCAAGGGTCTCGGGTTGCGTAAGGACGAGGATACCCGAGAGAATGCCCATTGCTCCGAACATTAAGGTGGGAATGCCAGCATAGTACTCCATCTACGGAGAAAGATTAAATAATAACTCATTACTTTATTGCATTGACATTACAAGTATAAAACAAGATATATAAAATCTAACATAAATATTATAAAATGAATTGGTAAGCGCCAATATTATTAATAATTAAATGCACCTCCATTTAATTATTAATAATATTTCTCTATTTTTCAATTGAAGGAGGTTTCAGTAAAATTCTATATTTTTATTACGTTAACCTTATTTTAAGACTAACGAAATAACTTTAAAAATGGACAGATAGATAAAGTAATATTTGATATCTCATCGGACGAGAATGTAAACACCTCTCATGATAAGGCTAGACCACGCTGGTGGTCTTCCGTGGCCCATGAAAATGAAAGAAATCAAAAATCCGACTTCACAGAAAACCGTGGTTTAGCAATTCTATCGTTGCTTTTCACTGAGTGTCTCTGCCCCTATTACTAGCTCAGCTCGTTTGCGCAATATGTTATAAAAAAGAACCACTTTGAGTCCCAGTGGCGGGATCGTTCAAACCACTTGCTTGCCCAACGAAAAACATGTTTATTAATTTTTACTTACTAGTGCAGGAGTAAGCGGAGCCGTGATGGATCCGATTCGTCCAACCATAGAAGAGAATGCTAGCAGGCTGTGGCGGTACTTCGTAGGATACAGCTCAGACGTAAACAGATATATCGACGTGAACACCATGGAGATGCCGAACTTGCCGAGCAGATAGATGATCAGGCGAAGTGTAGCCATATCTAAAATGATAGTATTGTTTCACTGTAGCGTCTACTGTTTCATGTACCGTACATTTTTACTGTAGTATAAACGTTCCACCTTGAATTAAAAAAAATAACAAAACTATATGGAATAGATACAAATAATGCTAGTCGCTTGTGTGGGACATGGTGGAAAAGTATTTAAATAAATGTTCCAAGGACATCTTTCAACAAAACTAGATTTATACTTTGTCACCATCGTCCATTCTCACAAATTAGCATTCCATCATCATCATCATCAACAGCGTATAAGAGCCCTCGGCTGGACAACCGCCTCTCCTTAGGAAAGAGGTTTTGGCCTACTATACCACTCTGGCCAGACGGGTTGGTATACGGTTTTTGTAAAGATTTTCTTATCTTTGCAGAGCTGTTGTCCTGCGTAGTTTACTTCCTTAGTCGGCTCTTGCTTCACCAAACGGATTAGCATCTAGGGATTAAAAACTTAAGAAATATCTTACGCATTGGTATGTTAATACAAATCGAAATATAGTCAAATAATTACAATATAACGTAATAAAAAATGTAATTCTCATAGAGCCGGTGTTAGAAAACCTTTTAATAGATGCCAGCAAAAATATGTAAGCAAATATTCTCAAACCCAAGTTTTCGTCTGAAATCGTTTTGTGTATTTAACCTAACAAATAGTCAAGATATATAAGACAAAAATACTACTATAATATTATACTAGCACTTGTCCGCGGGTGTGGAGGTGACGTGTGGATATATCTCAAGTATTACGATCTGTTTAATTAATTCGTGTTATAAATTATTATTTACTTAGGGAGAAATTGCTTCAGAAGTTACAATTTTTATCTCAAAGCTTATCTGTAACAAGTAAGACTAAACAACCATGCAAAACTGACCTTGAGGTGTAAACGTGAAGGCAATGTTGCAAACGGCGCTGAATAAGAAGCCGGTGCAAATGGTGGGTTTTCTGCCAATTCTGTCCAAGACCAACACGGCGGTATAAAAGCCTGGTATTTCAATGGCTGCTGTCAGTATGTAGTTCAGGTGCATCGTCTCGGAGAGGCTAGTCGCGTTGATGGACAAACCATAGTAGACGAAGGTGGTAGTAATCCACCAGATAGGGGTGGTGCAAACACGCCGTAGTAGCACCGACGAGTTCCAAATAGCTTTGATCAAGCTTGGTCGGTTCTAGAGTAAAATAGAAATACCTTTATACGACTTCAAAAGAAGAGGAGGTTCTATGTTCGGCCTCATGTATTCCTTGTATGTATGTTGTGTATAAAATATTATCAGATCGGATCTGATGCTAGTATCCAGTGCCTTGTAATGTTACTTATTATATTGAGTGTCACATTTACTCTAAAATATCGTTTCAATTTAATTTGTAATCAATAATTTTTCATTTTTAGTACCTTTTGTTAATGTTTTTTTGAAGTCTGTTCATCTATTTTTATATACGTACGTATTTGGCATATTACTAAGAGGACAACTTAAATAAAAGACAATTGATTTTAATTGATAACAAATCGTTGGTAATTTGGCGTTTCATAAATGATCACAGTGATAAAAACTTAGCAGATTGTATTGATCGAATTGAATTTTGATTTCGATTAACAGATAATATGCACGTGCCTCCAAAATGTACAAAAAGAAATTTGTACATTTGATTGCACTTTATACTACTATTACACTTTATTGCTAAAAAAAGATACAAGACAAATATTTTTGAAATCTATCATAGTTTAATTGTTAAATTTAATCACGAAAAAGTGGCTTTCTTAAAATTCCTTCGCAAATTTCTAAAAAGCAACGCAAATTTTGTTCCTATTGACGTCACATTTTGTTGCATCAATAGGAACAAAATCAACAAGTGTATGGTTTCTGGTGATTATTATTTTGTTTCATATTACGTTATTAGTGATCTGTGTTAAAGTACTAAATCCTAGTGAAGAAAAATAACACTGGGACCGGTTTTGTTAAAGCACAATCTACCTAAAATAGACGTGTTTATGATGATCATAAATTGTTCAATACATTTACCTAATTCTTTACAATCTGAAACCCAGAAATAAAATTAGGAAGGTAAATAAAAATAGTTTGGAACTTCCCTCTTACTCTAATAAGTTAGGTATATTATTATATAGGTGGGTAGGTATTATTTTTCATTTACAAGCTAGCTTAGGCAATACTATTATACTCTTACTCTTTTGGCAATACCTGTGTATTAGATATTGAGGATATAATTGCTTTTAAGTACTAGTCGAACATATTTTGTGGCTTATTATACACATAAATACTTATATAACTCTTAAGAATACAACATAGTCATGAAATGTGTTGTGAAAGAATAAAACTAAAAAATAAATAAATCTTTACGAACTTTTCGTAAACTAAGTTATATTTGTCGAAGTTTGTACAAAAAAATTATGTGCAGGTAACTAAGTAAAAATGATCATCGCAACAGTTAGTATAAACATCTAAAACACGATACATTGTCTCTTCTTATCGTCTTGCGCCACTTTTTTCTTTTACTTTTGTATCTATAGGCATAAGGAAATATACTTTGTTAGGTGCAGTTTTGGTGTTATTTTGGCACGTAGGAAACACACAATATTTATAATAAACTTTTCTGTGCTTTTCCATGGTAAAATTTTGATTTTATTACTCACTTTTTTAACTTTCAGTAACTTTGTGTACCAAACACTTTGTTCTCTGTAGTCGCGTTCAAATCGCCCTAAAATGATAGTGATTTTTGTTTTTTTTTTTAGGTTAAATGGTTTTTATTTTGGGTGTGTTATATTTATTTTTGTTAATGTAATAACTAGTAGAAACGTTTACAAAAATCAAAAAGACATGCATAAACTACTTTTGTTGACTAAACGACTACCAACTCGAGGAATGCAAATACTGACCATCCCTAACAGCTCGGGAGAGTCAACTTGACCATGGATTAACTTAATATAAAAACAATACATCTAAGACCCTCCTACGTGAACTTAATTTCGTCATGTTGTAGTGATTCATAGGCGTTGAAATAATGGCATTTGTTCTCTAAGTAATAAATTGTAATAAATTGTATAGAAATCTTTTCTGGACTCGTTCGATTCTATCACTATTTACTTGATAGAACGGATTCCAGGCTAGCTACAGTATTCTAAAATACTTCTAATAAAACTATTATAAATAAAAATGGTAAGGTAATGGTAATGTTCTCTAAAAATTTTCGTATCTCTTACTATGAAACCTGTTAATTTTGATGCCCTGTAGATTACATAGTCATAATGATTCTTAAAATTTAGGCTACTATCAATCAGAATACCTAGATCTCTAATATTATTAACCTCTTGCAATAAGCAGTTATTAATAAAATAATGAGTTGAGTATTGATTCCTGTTTCTGCTAAATTTATTGAAATAGCACTTGCTGTGATTTAACGTCATACCGTTTTGAACACACCATTCGTGTGTATTATTTATATCTGATTGAAGTTCAATAACATCAGAATCACTGTATATAGTCCTATATATTTTTAAGTCATCAGCAAAAAGTTTATATTTGGAATTAATCTTACTGCCTAAATCGTTTATGAACACTAGAAAGAATAAAGGACCCAGATGGGATCCTTGAGGCACTCAAATTGTTATATAGCATTCCTTCGAATTAAAACAGTTAAACCGGACCAGTTGTGATCGATTCCTTAAATAAGACTCACACCAACGCAGTAATGATCCGTGAATTCCCATTCTCTCCAGTTTCACAAGAAGCAAATCGTGATTGACTAGATCGAACGCCTTTTTAAAATCAGTGTATATAGCATGAACTTCTCTACCGGTATCCAACGCGTTCGATACATGTGATACAAATTCAACCAAGTTATATGATGTTGACTTATTGGGACGGAAATCGTGCTGGTTATCATCTACCATGACTTTGAGATGAGCGAATATTTTCTTTTGAACCAGCGATTCAAGAATCTTACCACATGCCGATAAGATAGAAACCGCAACAACCAGACTTAAAAATAAACCACTTATCAGGGAAACAACCCTGTGACAGTGAAAACTATTGAAAAGAGAAGTCAGTGGCTCAGACAGATTATCTGCACATTTTCTTAGGCAGAGTGGAGGTATTGAATCAGGCCCGGGACCCTTATCACAATTCAAAGAAGACAAGTACTTGTAGACTTCTTCTACAGTTGTTCTACACGTACCTAATGTGATGTTATTATTATTCTCTGGTGTTGTAGAATTTAAAATACTAATCCTACTGTTCGTTTGATAAATGCATTGAAAATAGTCCGAAAACAAATTACTAATTTCTTGACCACCTCTGGCTTGACGGTTGTCGTTTAAATACATTTTATTTGGTATAAAATTGATACTTGTTCGTTTGTTCTTTAAGTATTTCCATACATGCTTGGGATTGCGATGCAGATGTATAACAATATATTTTTTAAATTTGAGAAACATTCCTTTATTAATGCGCTGCACCTCTTTCTCAAGCATTCACATGTTATTTGATCACGTGGGTTCCCGTACTTTTTGTATAATTTGTGATACTTAGCTTTTTCTTTAATAATTTTTAATAAAGCTCTACTGTACCAAGCGGGATGGAGTTCGTCACGTGGTTTAGTAACCGGTGTATGCTGTTTATTAATTGGCATAATATTATCATAAAATATAACCAACATTTCATTGACATCCTACTATCCTTCCACTCCTCTAACCAATTAATTTTTGATAATTCCGAATTGACAGTGTCATAATCGCACATGTAATAATTCAAGTACGGAGTTTTTTTCTGTACCAGAGGATTACTACTTTGATTTGTGGCAAACACAATTTCCAGTGCTGGGTGGTGTTGGTCAATAGTTACGAGTGCAGTTATTTGGGACACGGATACTGCATTATTGCTGCTACTAAGGACTAAGTCCAATATTAGAAGCATTAAGTACGTTGTTACATTGATAAAGATCATTAAAAGCTAGCATGTCCAAAAGATCATTTTCTTGATTACAACTTGATCCCTTGGGGACGGTCTGACCAGAGTCTATTTCATACTCCCAGCTAATGCCCCCCATGTTAAAGTCACCTATCTATAAGTTTATGGAATTATTTTTACATTTCTTATTTATGACTTCAGTAATATTGTTAATTTTATCATAGCAAACTTCCAAAGTAAAAAATCCAAAATCGATAAGCCATGTTTCGAGAAGCCCAAAATCGATCTAAGTGGCGTGCAATGGGAGAGGCCTATGTCCAGCAGTGGACTGCGATAGGCTGATGATGTGTGTGTGTGAAACTTCCAAAGTACTTACGGACATATCTGGTTGACGTTGCGGGTTCATCAAAGCATGCATTGATTTTTCGCTGATCTGTTTTCTGTTGACTCGTGCGACATTCTGTAACGTCGTCTTTGCTTCATCATATTTCTCCTTGGACAGTTGCCACCTCACGCTCTCATCCAGGAGCCAGTAGTAGGCTACGATGAGGAAGCATGGAATGTGTAGAATCATGATCATATACCGCCATGGTTCGACCAGCCAAGCCACTCCTCCAAGGGTGACCTGGCCGACGGCAAACATCGACGAGCAAGTAGCACTAGTCAAAACACGATAACGAGGACCCACAAATTCAGTAGCTGGAAAATGAAAGAATTGATTTAATATTTTAATTTTATACAAGCATACACACGCGAACATGGTCTTCCTATCGCTCGTATGCTTCATTGCTGAAGGTCGTGTCCTAAAGTGTTTTGGTGATCTCAAAACATATTATAAATGAAAATTAAATTTTTACATCGTTTAAAATAAACTCGTTTTTTTGTGTTGTACGCTTAAATCTTTTAAACTAAGCAACGGCTTTCAATGCGGTTTTGACCAATAGAGAAAGTGATTCAAGAGGAAGGTTTATATGTATAATACGTGAATATTATAGTCGAGGAAAAACGAGAATTTCAAAGATTTGTTATCAAACAAATATTTTACGAGATATACCAAAATAATGTTCTACGGAATTGTATATCTTAAGAAATCTAGAAAGAGTCCACTTTGGTATTATTATGTTACTAAGGATAACCCACAGTAACAATTTTTGTCTTTTAAATATTACAAAAAAATAATGGGCTATTTACGAAGCTATTTCAAACAATACATTATAATTTCTTATCAAATAAAATACATTAGATACGTTGTGCAGTTAATGTACATTAAAATTTCTCTTTCCAGCATATGCTAAAAATGAATATTTTAAAAGATATTAGAGGTGCACAATGCGGGGGCCAAACGACCGTCGAGCCATACGTCCGTCCCGGGTGGTAGCGGCCGGCAGGATCGGAGCGGGCCCATTAATATTGCATTTAAAGATGTCCCGTAGTATGGTCCCATCATAATAATAGTATAAATAATTACTCCGCACTGACACCACATTAGTAGTATTACTATTATCTACAGCACCCTTGCGAAGCCGGGACGGATCGTAATAATATGGTAATAAATGAAAATTTGGTTTAAATTCTTATAAACCACAAGTTAATATGAAAAGTGACTATAGTTTACACAATTAAATTAATATTAAAGATTTTCAAATAACTTACCAAAGATGTAAGCAGAACTATATATACCAGCACCAAGAGTAGTTTGGAGAAGGTGTAATGCAAGATACATGGGATAATTTACAGAAAATGCTCTAATTAATCCTATGAGTGCTAAATTAAAGCCGCTAATGACGAGAGCAGCCTTTCTTCCGAATCGATCGGACACGTAGCCGGTGATGGGCAGGACCAAGAGAGTACCAACACTGCTAAGAGTGCCGGCCAGTGCACGGAACCATTCTTGACACCCGAGATTAAACTGAAAATAAAGATTTTGACTTTGAATTCCAATACATTTCGTAAGAAATCAATTCTTGACACATCTCAAAGTAAGCACATAGTTCTAAAACGTATTAATAAAATTAAAAAAGTAATTATATTATTTATACGAAGACAGAGTTTACATTACCTCATGCGAGTATATTACAGGTCGAACAAAGTTTATTATTATAGTTTGGATGAACGGATGTCATGTGCCTCCAACACAAAGGGAGTATCCTCGGCCAAGGCGAGGCGATGCCTCGCAGGCTGCGGCCCAATGGTTGATATTGGGAAGTTGTATATGTGCTAATAAGTGTGCGAACTACTCGTATCGCGATACAGGATTAGCAGTTACTCCCTAGTTCGGTGTATCTTAGTTAGATGGCGCTATAGTGTGTTTCTTCGTTTCACCGTATGTGTAAGTCGCTCCGGAATTAAAGGAAAAGGAAAAAAAAGTAAGATTAAAATCATTAGAAAAAATTAACTTACTTCGTACACGACTGAATTGTGTCTACTGTAAACAAATTCGTTATTACAATCTGTGGTAGTGGTGGCGAACAGGTTGACGGGACAGGAGTTCAACGTTCCATTGCCCGTAGATAGAAAGCGACTGCAGCTTGCGAAGCCAGTATTACTGTCGTCTGCAGGGATGGCGTTCAAGACCCAACCAGGTTCAAACAAATTACTCCGACTATCTTCCCCGCATTCGGGAATGCGACATCTATAAAGGTAAAATTTTAAACTTGAAAATATTGACAAGGATTTTTCGCCTCTCTATTCAACTTCTTCTCAGCCGAAAGATATCCACTGCTGGATATAGCTCTCCCCAAAGGTCCAGCACAACAACAGGTCCTGTGCTGGGATCGAACGGTTTCGGACCTTCACCATAAACCCTAAATTGCATTATAATGAGACTGTAGTGTAGCATTTAATGGTTTTAATTTATAATGAATAAAAGAGTAAGTAAAATTTTCTCTCCGGGAACCTTACAGCCATGCGATAGTGTAGATCAGATGACCAATTTTCTTGCTTTCATACGTTTAGCCAGTTAGCTATCTAATTTATAAAATTTAATGGTTTTAATTTATAATGAATTACCATTATAACTGAAATTGTAACTTATATAGTTACAATTTCAGTTGAAAATGAAATTGAAACTAAAAACTGAAATTGTAACTTATATATGTAGTAACAATTTCAGTTACACTGGTCATTCATTAACGTTGCTTGCATTCATCAACGGTATGTACGGTACACTGTTGTACAGCGAGGTTCCATCATATAATAAGAAGGAGGATAGAAGAAATAGGGGGAGGGGAAGGAATTCTGGTCAGAGCATGTTAATAATTGTTTTAATATTTATCTATAAACTTGCAAGGTCTGTCTATATAACATTATATGAAAATACACATATAAATTAAATTAAATATAATATACACGTACACGTATCCAATCTTGAAAAAAACAAACACACACAAAAAAATCAGTGGTTATACCATTTGACGCGTTAAAATTTGAGGTGATGGTGCCGACACGTTCAGTCATCATTATACATATAATATTATCACAAAATAAATTATACGTGAAGAGAATTTGCAGTAAAAGTTTTAAGTATTGAACTGACCTGTGCGGAATGGCTGCAGCTGAGAAGATAAACTCGCTCGGGAAAGCCGACATGATCAAAGGGGCAGAGAGTAGGAGCAGATTAAGAAGCTGGTAGCGGCCAAACTGGCCAAGCTCGTTAACCAGCACATCGTCTAGATCTACGGGTTTATTGAAAACACTGCCTTTTCTAATATTAGGGCCCGAAGACTCACTTTCACTGGCTCTGTCATTCATTGCACTGATTTCGTTTTCACTGGTAAATTATCTGTCTTTTGTCCCGCAATCTAATAAGCATAATAAAATAGCTTCAAGACCAAACATGTATAATATTATCTCCAAGACCAAGTTTATCTATAAATACCAGGTTTTATCTTATTAAGATATACATAAACGATGTATTTGATAGACTAAATTACGTACTTAAAAGTTAAATGAAAAGAAATGATTAATTAAAAAATAGTACAAAACAGAATAAGACCACATAAGGATGACTACTTGTGGCCTGACCAAAATGGTTTTCCAAAAAAAAGGCACAAGAGAGGCTTTTTTTTACGTGTAAAAACCCCCTCGGGCCGTCACCCCACAGGGGTTTGCCGAGGGGTGGTGGTGGATCGACTAAAACCACACGGTGTGCCACTCTGCGAACTGCCAGGAACTGCTGTTATTAGGACCCCTCCTAGCGACTGCTCACAACGGTGCGGATACCACCTTCGGGTACATTCTCTATTTATGCGACGTCCGGCACACGCGGACGTAAGCGCGAAGGCACAAGAGAAGTTATACAAGCCCTACGGTCCATTATAGACAGACGTGAGGATTTAAGCCTTCCAACATTTATAGCCTTTATTGGTCTAGATAAGGTATTCGAAAAGGTAAACTGAAAATTCTGAAGGGGAGCAGGAGAATAATTTATCATCTACATAAAACCAGCAAACAATAATATAAGTAAGATTAAAGAAACAATTAGCAACTATTAAGCAGAGACTAAGACAGGGGTGCCATCTTTCACCCTTAACTTTTATCATTTTATTGAATATATGCCCTAAAAAAAATGGTAGAATTAAAGAAAGGGTTCAAATTTAATGGGGGAGACCATGAGCTTTATCAGATTCGCAGATAACATCGCAGCAATAGCCTATAGTTTAAACAATTTAGAACAACTTCTAACGATGACTGACACTTTCAAACTACTAAAAATAAATAATACTAAAATTATAATAAACTCAAAATTCCTCCTCCACCCAAAAGTCCTTTCCCAGGACTCAAACTATCTCTGTTCTAAATTTCACCTAAATCGATTTAGTGGTTTCAGCGTGAAGAGGTAACAGACAGACAGACTCGCTTTCGCATTAATAATGTTGAAATGGATTCTTATTATTCCATTACAATGTTATCCAAATTGATAACTTCTAAAGCGTCAACTTATCACTACTCGTCAGTTTTGCAGTGGCAGTATGATACCTCAAGTTTGCGTTGGTTTGAACATTAATTTGCACCGTGCTCACAGGACAACGCATGCACTCTGCTCGGAGAAGAGACCTATTACATATGACTCTTTTCATCGTCATCATCATCATCAGCCCTTCGCAGTTCACTGCTAGACATAGGCGTTTCCCATTGCACGCCACGCCGAGGAGTGCTGCTCTTTGTTCGAGACACGTGTTCCGTCTCGTAGGCTCAAGTGTTGGTTTGTGAAATGTAATAAAAACATTATAAGTATTGTTTAGTTATAGTAAATTTAGAAGTATGACTATTAAGATAGTTATGCACATACTATTATACCTATAGTGTTTGAACCAGTGTTGTTTGAATTGTTCCTTACACAATGTAGAGCGTTTACATGGCTCTCACTGAAATCAGACGCTTTATGTGTTTACTGTAGTCGTTGAATTTAATTTAATATTAAATAAGACACGATCACAGTCGGCTCGATATTAAAATCTGTGTCAAACTACATTATTGATGTACGAAAACATATATAACATAAAAAAAAAACGGATTAGGGAAAAAAGAAATTAATAAGTTTAAGTATTGTACGGTTCAACTAACCCACTCGTTACCGTGTCAGCGGTTGGCTTTTTGTTTATTATTCTGCTGTCTATAGTTTTACGGATATTTTTATCAATTTTTATCGTATGATTCCTAGATATCGCAATTAACGATTCAATCTTATTTTAATAATCAATTATATTATCAATGTTCATTTATCAATTATAAACACGTTTTAATCAATTTTGCATTAAGATACGTCAACATGGATGTAAGACTCAGATATACTCGTACATATTCTCTCAATTCGACTTCGACGAAATACACATATTCTTTCTATACTTTATAGTATCTTATGCAATCCATCTACCTCACCTTACTTAAACTCAGTGACATACATCTAAAATCTTTGGAGCTAATGGTACCTAGCCACACTACCATATTGTATGACAAGTCATTCACAGTGCAGACTGTCGGATTATGGAAAGCCTTGCCGACGTGCCCAAACAAAGACTGCATATGTATGTGTGTGCGTGTATAGTTATATATAATTTATTATCTATTCAGATATATAACTTAAACAGGGTATATAAAATTGGTAACATATCACCAACTGCCCTGCAAACATGGCTTTGATGAATTCTATGCGGAAAGCTTTATCCCTTAAGCACAACGTAGTTCTCGATAATGAATTTTGAGAAATAGAAGATGTACCCAAAAGATGTTTTCAGTCTTCAGAGTAAGGTCACACACTTTCTGTACGATGATTTCGTCGATGATGGTTGTATAGTACTTAGTATAGTACAGATTGAAGAGAGCGACTTAATTATGTGACAGCTACATGTTAACGCCGTTCTAAACTATATCGTTAACAAAAGAAATTTAAAGTATTGCGCACGCTCACTGTGTAGGCGCTTAAGCATGCCGAGGACGTTAAAAGATGGCATTAATTGATCCAAAAATATGAGTAGACGTAGAAGGCAGACCGTATTAAAGACTATTGCAATAATCTTAATGAACGTGCGGATGTCATCAACACGAGCATTCCTATTAAAGTATTTGAAAAATTCGTTCTAATAAAGCAAATAGTGCTGTTATCGGAATGCATATCTATTGAATTTCCCCGTAGCTCAATAAAATGGTATAAAAACAATAAATATTTTTTGTAGATAGTGGGTAAGTAGTCAATATCCGTTACCTCGACGATTTGCGCACATGATCCTCATTGTTCAAAATCAAATAAAAAAATTCGTTAGCTCTATAATGCAGTGTAAATCACGTGATTAAGATAAATTCTCTACGTGACATTTAACTCGTTTTTGCAGACAAATTTTACTGATTTTAAAATTATGTATGCTCTGGCAATGGTTTAATTTGACTGGGTAGAGCTAAAACATTCAATGTGGACCGTAACACTTCTTGTGTTAAATAAGCTTAAATTTCGAAGAACATACGCAATGTAATGCACTCATCCTTAATACATTAATATGGAACCATTTAAAATCTATGAAGTCTTCTCGACAATAGCGTTCAAAGCAACATAGGGTCGAGTGTCGGGCAGTGACTGCAATACTGAACGTTGAAGTTGAGAAGGCCAATCAGATTGGACATGTTTTACGGAAACTCGGTTCAAGGTTTGAACTTTAAACATTACTAATATCCACGCTACAAGATACTAATTATGTTGAGTTCAGTTGGTTACAGGCCACCACATACAGTAACCCTTTCTTTGTAGTTGCCTTTTCTTAAACTTCAGTGACAATTAATATTATTATATGTCTTTGAATAATTAATTAATTATTATTTCATTAATTATATATTATTGATTCATCTTAAAAGCATTTGATTGGGACATTTATTTGTCCACGATTTCGAGCCTAACAATTGAAATTGCTTCCACTGTCTATTAGTGCAATTATGTTTTAATAACGTTGCTAGAGACTGAGCAGTTCTCATTATTCTGGTTTGTTTAATTCCATAGGAATACAGCCTCGTCAATCTCGACTGTCAGCTTATTAGCCGCCATTAAGTTTCATTTCTCTCATATAATAAGTTTTGAAGATCCCTTTTTCATAATTTTGGGTTTGTCAATTTCTGTATACAGACCTTTCTCCTTGCAGACACACTTATATCACATAACTGTGAGTAGTATTGCTAGAGTCTAAAAAAGGAAAAACGACGTGGAGTAATCAAAGTAACGATGGCAAATAAGTTAGTGAAAATATTAGTGGTACACTCAACATTTTTATTCTTAATTCTAATTCTTTAATTTATTTTTTCTGAATAATATCTAATTACAGTTATATTTAACTAAGTAAGTCTTGCAATTGTTGGTGACAATACGGTTGTTCGTTGTAATCACGCGGGTTGTCTCATGGATTCTGGCGATCCAATGGCCTCAGCTTCCGCCAGCGTGTCAGGCATCTTGGTCCCAAGAGTCTCGGGCTGCGTAAGGACGAGGATACCCGAGAGAATACCCATACCTCCAAACATTAATGACGGAATGCCAGCATAGTACTCCATCTAATGAGAAAGATAAGATATGAAATAACTCACAAAATATTTTTTAGAACTAATGTATTTATAAAACCGAATATGTATTATATTCGTCATTGGTCTCTTGCATAGCGTGATACTATGTGTGTGTGTGTTTCGGATATATAACAGAGATATGCATTCGTTAATCAGTGCCAAGATGAATATATGCTTAAGTCTACATCCAGTGATAAATAACGAGAACGATCTTAGAGCTCTTGTTTGCCTTTCCATGCCGCCTTACGATCACTAGTAGCTGCTAGTATAGGCTTGCGCCATTTGTATTGGGATTATTATATTAGAAATAATTTTGAATACTACTTACAAGTGCAGGAGTGAGCGGGGCTGTGATGGACCCAATTCGTCCAACCATCGAGGAGAATGCTAGCAGACTGTGGCGATACTTGGTGGGGTACAGCTCAGATGTAAATAGATATAAAGACGTGAAGACCATGGAGATACCGAACTTGCCGAGCAAATAGATGACCAAGCGAACCGTGGCCAGATCTGAAATGACAGTCTTGATGTGTTATAACCATAAACCTTTTGTGTACGATATTACTGTTCTGAATATTATCGCACTTTTGAGATGTGCGCCAAGAAAAACATATTGTAAAAATGCGATTCGCGTGACAAATCCTAGGAGGAAAACGATTTTATTTAAAGTTTCGACGAAGTTTGTTAGTTTTATAATATTAACTGATACAAACTGATTTGTGCACTGCGAATGCTAAATATAATTACTAGGTATAAGATCACTTAGAAGCATTTCGAGCGGGTGATCCCCCGAGTTCGTGGTTTAGCGGGCTCCCTACAGAAGCTGTAAGGAGGCCTAACCTAGGTCGTCCGCGGGAGGAAGTTCGCCGCCTCTACTGTGCGGTGCGAACCCGAAATGCGGCGGAACGCTCACAGACAAGCACTGGTGCAGAGCGCGAACAGCCGTGGAATGCATGCCAATGCCTTACCCCGAAGCTTGATAGGTAAGGAGAGCGGTCGTGTCACCTATCGACTGACGCAGGTACTCACTGGGCATGGTTGCTTCGGTGAGTACCTGAATCGTATCAGATGCGAGGAGACGACACAATGCTAGCACTTCGCAGCTGACTGGGACTCCGCCCAGCACACATCGGATCGGGAGAGGGCCGATCCTGAGCGTAGAGGACGAGCGACGATACTAGTCGCCGACGTGGCCGCGGGCCGCCAGAGAGTGGGGACCTCTGGTGGCAGATTGAATGTTGCAGTAGGAGATAGGATGGCGGCCTGATTGCATTAAGCTGGAACGTCGCGATTGAGGGGGGAAGTTTTTTTCCTCTGGGATAGGGCCTGATTATGCAAGGAATGGTGTCATATCGGGGAGGATCTGAAATAACATGGTGCGGGTCCTCCCAGAGTAGGGATAGCCGTTTTGGTGGCTTTTAGTGGAATCACCACATAATCCTGGCTTCTGAGTCCCCGAGGAGCGGGAGATCGAAGGGATTTACCATCCCCTTCAAAAAAAAGGTATAATATCACTTATTTTTTTTAAATATATAACGCACGAGGAGAATAAAATAGATTCATTCTCATAATTAAAATAATAATAGTAAATAGAAATAGTAAGTGCGGTTCTGCACAACAGTCCCCGGATAGCACAGTGTCCCCAGTTCCAAATCTTAATACTCAAGTTTCGTCTGAATTAATTTTACGTAAAGTACCAGTAACAAATAGTTGAAAGACGTAATAACTTAATGCCAAAAAAGGCGATAATATCCAAAAGTACCGTTCGCTTAGATGTTATTGGATGCAAGGGTACCGTTTGTCCATCTTCGTAATTCGGCATCGTGTACGCAAAATTCCACGGAGCATAAAATGCAAACAAACCAACAGTGATTCATATATATTTTAGAATATGGAAACTCACTTGACTTATCAATTGTATTATAGCTCTCTATAGATCTCTGACTAAAGTATCATAATTAGTGTCATAAAGGGGAATGCCCACTACCCATAGACACTTTGGCCCTAGGTGCACACATATAAAAGCATATGGAAACGATAATATACAATTTAAAGAATGAAATGATTAAGGAATTGGTATTAAAAAAAGTCGGGATTTTTAAGATATAAAATGATTTTAATTTACAGAAATAACTACAGTTTTTTTTTCTTATTCATCATTTTATTGTTATTCTCACATACAATATCAAGTTATATGTAGTTGTTAGGTATTTTATGATCATACATCATTTGTGTCATACACAATTAGTACATCATCCAGGAATTGAGCCGGAGGAAAAATATTTGTTTGATGTCGTGCCCAACCCAAATACCATATTACTGTCATTATATGGGCACAACATCCTACCGTTCGACGGCCAACAATACAGTTACAACAATACTTTTTAATTGCACTTCTGCCAGAATCATTGCCACTAATTAAAATATATATAAAATATATTTTTCGACTGAAGTGTCGACTTGCGATTCTAGCCCTAGGTAAAGAGCAGTTACCACGGGAAGAAGTTCGCCGTCTCTATATGGGGGTCGTGCGATCCATGGTCCTCTATGGGGCGCCCGTCTGGTCTAATGACTTGGCGGGTGCCTCCCGCTGCAAGGCTCTACTCAGAAGCCTACAGCGGTTGATGGCCATACGGGTCGTACGGGGTTATCGTACCATCTCGTTTGAGGCGGCGACGGTCCTGGCTCGATATCCACCCTTCGACATTCTGGCCGACATGGACGCGATGGTCTATGACCAAGTCCGTTCTGTCGGTCGGAATGGTGAGGAGGCCGCGCCGAATCATGAGCCCGGAATGCTACGGCGGAACGCGCATACGCAGGCTTTGCGAGCGTGGCAGGCACGGCTTGTAATCCAGGGCTGTGCTAGCCAACGCGCCGTCGGAGCCGTTCTGCCGAGCTTCGAAGCGTGGGTAGGGAGGAACGACTGTGTCACCTACCGATTGACTCAGATGCTTACCGGGCACGGTTGCTTCGGTGAGTATCTGAATCGAATTGGACGGGAGGCCACGGCACGATGCCACCATTGCGGGTCCGACCGGGACTCCGCCCAGCACACGCTGGAGGACTGCCCTGCATGGGAGTCCGAACGTCGAGTCTTGGTCGGACAGATCGGACGAAACCTGTCACCGCCAGCATTAATCGCGGCAATGCTGGCGAGTGGCGAGGGATGGGCAGCCGCGGTCTCCTTCTGCGAGGACGTTATGCTCCAAAAGGAGGCCGCAGAGCGGGATCGGGAGAGGGCCGATCCCGCTCGAAGGAGGCGGCGAAGGGGACGCGGCAGAGGTCGCTAACTCCCCAATCGCCGCCTAAGGGTCACTGCGGCCACATCTTGGGGCGATGTGACCGCTGTAAACGACCCGAGACGGATGACACTCCGGTGCGGCCGGGGGGGTGTCGTCTAAGGCGGGACGCCGTTGCGCCTTTTACTCTGTAGAGCAGTGAGAGGCGCGATAGCGTCCTGCCCCAGGGTGACTACGGTCACTCCGGGATGTGCCTCAGACATGAGGTACGGCAGGGAGGACTCCAGAAGTCGCCGATGCGTTCCTGGAGCTCCTCCCGACTGCCGAGGTAGGCCGCCGCGGGGTTTAGTGGGTAGACCGGTTCTCCGGGAGTCCCACACACGCCCTGCGTTTCCCCAACGGAGGGTATGGTGCGAAAAGCATTCCCCGCGTGAAAAAAAAAAAAAAAAGGTAAAGAGCAGTTAGGACTAAGGTGTATTCCTTCCATAATGCTGCCCCTATGGTCATTGCATATTTCTATGTGGTAGCAACCATTAGCTCTTATATGCTCACCATAATAGGAGCGAGCTTGCTTTAATTGGTATGTACCACAAGCAATTAGTACTAAGTCGCTGTAAGTTAAAATAGGAAATCCCCTAATATTTTCGGAGCCCACGTTTATATTTCTAAAGTCTGCCCTAGCTCTATTAAAATAAATAAATAAATAATATTAGCACTAACATAATGAAATCATAAAAATTACCGAAAATCGAATAATATAGCTATAAAATAATGGCTGTGTTTGGCAGAAAATAGCGCTAGGAAGCGCTTAAGAGCGCTTACTAGCGCTGACACAGTTTTCGGCCAGGACACGTTTGCTAACTTCAGTAGCGCTGACACAAACCGCCATTTTGCTTATTTATTTTGTTTGTTTTAAAAGTAGAATTTATAAGATGTTTTGTGCAATTAGTTTCAAGTAATATTAAAATAAATAATAATGTCAGTCCAAAAAATAGTAAAATTAGTAATTGGGAACACTTAATATTTTGCCAAAAACCAATGAAATCCGGATTAACGTAATTTCACTTTTATCTTTTCGGTACTTTTATTTTCTGTTTAAATGTTGCAGACCTGTCAGGATAAATGAATACCCCAATTAATAAACAGAAAATAAGATAGTTTTTTCTAACAAAAGCAAATTGTTGGGCGTTTCATGGCCGAAAATGGGCATTCCCCTTTGTGTTCAGAATTAATATTAATAAATTTCTAGATGAAAATAATTCAATTTTTATATCAAGTGAAAGCTTATCTGTAACAAATAAGACCAAGGAATGGGACTGACCTTGAGGTATGAACGCGAAGGCGAAATTGCAGGCAGCACTGAATAAGAACCCAGTGCACATAGTAGGCTTTCTGCCAACTCTGTCTAAGATCAACACGGCGGTAAAGAAGCCTGGGATTTCAATAATTGCGGTCAGAATGAAGTTCAGGTACATGGTGTCGGAGAGGCTAGTCGAGTTAATGGACAAACCATAGTAGACGAAAGTGGTAGTAATCCACCAGATGGGGGTGGTGCAAACTCGCCGTAGTAGCACCCTTGAGCTCCAAATGCCTTGTATCAAGGTTGGCTCATCAACGCCGGTCTCCTAGAATATGAAAAACATCTTAAACTCAAATATAGAGTTTGTTTAACTAGTTAACTATTATAACTTGAATAGAACCACTTTCTGAGGGCAATATTTTTGCTTATACATATATTTCCATAGATTAGGTGAACAAATTTTAAGTGTAAATAATAAAAGTATGTTTTTTTGCAAAAAATATATGTCTTTTTTTCATCATAACCACTTTAACATACATTGAATGGTACTTCTACATGGTGTTTATAATTGTTCTGTAAATATGCTTAATTCTATTATCAACAGCCTTTAATAGTCCACTACTGGATACAGGTCTCTCCTTAGGAAGGAGGTTTTGGCCTACTATTCCACGCTGGCCAGACGGATTGGTGTAGGGTTCGTGTCAAGTTTTCCCTCTATTTGCAGAGCTGTTGTCCTGCGTATTTACTTCCTTAGTCGGGTCTAACGATACCCACGGGATGAACTGGGGTGGTGATACTCTGTATTCTAAATCCATCGCGACACGGATAGCTTACTTCTATAGCCAATGGAAAAGCAGAGTTTATGCTAAAGAAGACATTTTGGAGACCGTTTATGTGATGTATTCGACAAAACCAAGTTTGCGAAGAAGTTCGATATGCTTCTGACCTTCGAACCATAATAATATGCTCAAGTATGCATAATAATATGCTGAAGTAAGCTATCCGTGTCGCGATGGATTCAGAATCCATCGCGACACGGATAGCTTACTTCTATAGCCAATGGAAAAGCAGAGTTTATGCTAAAGAAGACATTTTGGAGACCGTTTATGTGATGTATTCGACAAAACCCAAGTTTGCGAAGAAGTTCGATATGCTTCTGACCTTCGAACCATAATAATATGCTCAGTAACATCTTAAAAGTTGCCGCAGGCACTAACTTTTGACGTTGGTGTCGTTAAGCATTCAGAACTCGGAATTCATCTCAGTTATGGTAGCGAGTGGTTACCTGTTCATCAGCTTAGTCAATTTTAATAATTCAGAATATAATTTTTATTTAAGAATCTTTCCACATTCGTTTCGTCATAAACGTCTATTCTTGGTGGTGCTTAGGTTTTTGATAATGTCAATAATAAAACTATAAGAGACGCTATCATGAGTGGTTTTACCACAGTTTGAAAAAACTTGTTTCTGATAAAACTAAATATTTTTTATCGTAAGACTATAACATGAAGCAATAACAACGTAGTGGTCTTAAAGACATTACTACAATATTATAATTGATTATGAATGATTATAAATTTATTATGTTTGAGACAGTTTTGGTTAGCGATGCGTTTACTTGGAGTAAAGTTACACTTACAGATATGTCTGGTTGCTGCGGCGGGTTCATCAGGGCATGGAATGATTTTTCACTAATTTGTTTTTTGTTGACGCGTGCTACAATTTCTAATGTCGCTTTTGCTTCAGCATATTTTCCCTTCGACAACTGCCACCTGACGCTCTCGTCTACAAGCCAGTAGTATCCTAAGATGAGGAAGCAAGGAATGTGCAGAGCCATGATCATGTATCGCCATGGCTGAATGAGCCAAGCCACTCCTCCGAGGATCGCCTGGCCAACAGCAAACATCGACGAACAAGTAGCACCAGTCAAAACACGAAAACGAGGACCCACGAATTCAGTAGCTGGAAAATAGAAAATAAAATGTTTACTAATATTTTAGGTGACAATAATCAAATGCAAATAGGGCTATGTCTTTCACAAGGAATTCTTAAAGATACAGCCTCATTAAGATTGTAAATGTTTAAGAAACTTACCGAAAATATAAGAAGAACTAAATGTACCAGCACCAAGAGTAGTTTGGAGTAGCTGTAGTGCCAGATACATGGGATAATTTACAGAGAATGCTCTAATTAATCCCATGAGTGCTAAATTGAACACACTAATGATGAGAGCAGCCTTTCTTCCGAATCTATCGGACACGTAGCCGGTGATCGGCAGGACCAAGAGAGTACCAACACTGCTGAGAGTTCCAGCCAGTGTACGGATCCATTCTTGACACCCGAGGTTAAACTGAAAACGAAGAGAATCTTCTAATACGAATACTTTTATTATACATTTTCATATAAAAAAAAAAACAATACTTGACAGTCTATAAGCGAGCACGTATTTGTAACTTTCTTAAAAGTAGTTGTAGCATTATTTATAGGAGGACACAGTTTACCTATTCTATAATTCTTACTGAATTATATTAGAGGTTAATTAAAGTACTAGTATAGATCGTTCAACTCAGTTGTGCGCGCGGCCCTATGTGTGCGTGGGCTTGTAAATATACAACTTTCATTAGTGTGGCAGTGACGCGGCAGTCGTCGTCCGAGCAGCACACGAATGAATGTTGTATATTTACAAGCCCACGCACCCACTATCTATACATCTATTATTTTGTGTGCTTAAAAAGAAAAAAAAACATAAGAAAGATAAAAATAATATGCAAGAAAAAAATATACTTACGTCGTATACAACAGAATTGTCTCTGCTGTAGACAAATTCACCGTTGCAATCTGTGGTAGTAGTGGTGAAAAGGTTGGCGGGACAAGAATTCAAAGTTCCATTGCCCGTAGACTGGAACCGACTGCAGCTCGCGAAGCCAGTGTTAGTGTCGGCTGCAGGAATGGCGTCCAAAACCCAAGCAGGTTCAAATAAATTATCCTGCCCGACTTCCCCGCACTCGGCAATGCGACATCTGTAAACGGCTTCCCCTTAGTGTTATGATACGGGTACAATTTAATATATGTACATTTTATGTTTTGTCTGTCTTTCTGTTCACAACTAACTAAAAAACAACTCAAAGGGCTTAAAGTGGTTTTCACCAATATTGTATATATATTTTTTTTATTTTTTTTTTCTGGAAAAGATCAAGGAGAGCATGATTTGAATTTTACTCTGTTACTTACTTCATATATAATATTTTATTAAAAATGTTACGAAAAGCTACACGAGTCCAGTGGATACGCGAAGTGCATGAGTAGAAGTGTAACTTAAACAGTCTAAACGCAATATCTAGTCAACTGTACGACGTACTGTGATTTTAACCAACTTATACTGCTTAGAGGATTTTAAACTAATAACGCCGACGAGTTTTGAAACAATTTTAATTTGCAAGTGAGAAATCGAGTTATTGACAATTTACACATACGTATAATAATATACTTACCTAAATATACACCCACATCCCTACTAATATTATAAATGCGAAAGTAACTCTGTCTGTCTGTCTGTCTGTTACGTTTTCACGCCTAAACCGCTGAACCGATTTTGATGAAACTTGGTACAGATATAGTCTAGAACCTGAGAAAGGACATAGGCTACTTTTTAATTCGGAAAAAGGGCTGTAAGGGGTGAAATAGGGTATGAAATTTTGTATGGCAATTACGTCATTTTTAAAGCTAGAAGCTTGAAACTTATTTTCTAGGCTTTTGATTAGATATAAATAAATACAACATTCAAAGTTTTTTAAAGCTTTAATTTTGTCGTAGTTTTATTGGATATAATAAAAGTTAATTCATACTGTGTTAAAAAATAAATATATATATATGGATGAAGGTACAATCATCCCTATCCCTACTAATATTATAAATGCGAAAGTTACTCTGTCTGTCTGTTACGTTTTCACGCCTAAACCGCTGAACCGATTTTGATGAAACTTGGTACAGAGATAGTCTAGAACCTGAGAAAGGACATAGGCTACTTTTTAATTCGAAAAAAGGGCTTTTAGACCAAATTCGTAAAGATAAAGGAGTTGCTGTTGCTGTAGCCTCCTCTGGAATAGCTGCTACGTTACTCAATGGTGGCCGAACGCCACATTCAGTACTTAAACTGCCATTGAACTTAGCTCATGAGGAAATGCCAGTTTGTAACATTACTAAAAACAGTGACCGTGGACGAATGTTACAGCAATGTAAGCTATTGGTTTGGGATGAATGCACGATGTCCCACAAAAGTGCGATAGAAGCACTAGATCGGACCATAAAAGATATCAAGAGTAATCAAAGTATCATGGGTGGTATGGTGGTACTTTTAGCTGGCGATTTTAGACAGACTCTGTCGGTAATTACTAGGGGCACGCCGGCAGATGAAATAAATGCATGTTTAAAAGCATCTCCATTATGGGTGCATATAATTTTTTTTTGTCTAACTACAAATATGCGAGTACAACTGCACAGTGATGGTCGATTGGGGCAATATACGGCTTTTTAAAAATCGGAGAAGATCGTATGGAAACAAATAGTGACGGTATGATTACATTAAAACGTGAATTTTGTAATGTTGTCTGTAACATAGATGACTTAAAGAACCACGTCTATCCAGATCTTCCAACCAATATGAGGAACAGAGAATGGCTGAGTGAAAGAGCAATTTTAGCATCGACAAACGAAATAGTGGGGCAGATCAACGAACAAATCATGTCAGATGTGGAAGGCGATTTCGTTGAATTTCTGTCCGTAGACAATGTCATGGACACCAAGCAAGTGACATCGTTCCCTGTAGAGTTTCTTAACTCCTTAGAATTATCGGGGGTGGCTTCCCATAAGTTGAGGCTAAAAGTAGGTGTCCCGTTCCTGTTGTTGCGAAATCTTAACGCACCAAGAATGTGTTATGGCACACGGCTTCAAATTACACACCTGGGACGCAATATTGTGAGAGCAATAATTATGACAGGAACAGCAAAAGGGAGAAGAAGTATTAATTCCCCGTATTCCAATAATCCCTACCGATTTGCCATTCCAATTTAAAAGAGTACAGTTTCCCCTGAAAACAGCATTCGCTATGACGATCAACAAAGCTCAAGGACAGCCCTCAAAGTAGCTGGTGTACATTTGGAAAAAAAACTGTTTTTCCCATGGGCAACTGTATGTGGCCTGCTCACGAGTATCGAGTCCACAAAACCTACATGTTTTGACCAAAGAAGGAAAAACAAAAAATGTTGTATACAAAAACGTGTTAAACTAAGTACTACCTACCTTATAAGTTGCCCCATGGTTTCACCCGCAAAAGTCAGGGATCGGGGTCTACCTAAAGTCTACCTATGTTACTCCTAAGGTTCAATGTATCCTTATACCAGCTTCATTAAAATCGGTCCAGTATAGTTTCAGAGCCTATTCATTACAAACAAATTTACCCGAAGTAGTAGTTCGACGCAGACGAAGTCGCGAGTAACAGCTAGTATATTATAATTCTGAAAACTGTCCTAAAGGTGTTCTCGTACTAAAGTATTACTTCACTACGAGAATACTTTGTGTGACATTTGTGCAATCGAGACTAAATTGGAACTGATATATCACGAGAATTGACCTTCTGATTAGGTATTTCCTTAGTCTTGGTCAATGATCTAAAATAAAAGAATATTCCGTGTGGTGACGGATTAAGGATACGGAGTATCACCACCCCTATTCATCCCGTGGGTGTCGTAAGAGCCGACTAAGGGAACAAACTAGGCAGGACAACAGCACTGCAAAGAGAAGGAAAACTTGAAACAAACCCCATACCGACCCGTCTGGCCAGCGTGGCATAGCGGACCAAAACCTCCTTTCTAAGGAGAAGCCTGTGTCCAACAGTGGACAAGGTAAATTGTGATTAACATTATTATCATACAAATTCATAGAATTTTCAATAAGTATATAAGTGAATCTTACCTGTGTGGAATGGTTGCGGCTGAGAAGATGTACTCGCTCATAAAGGCCGACATGATGAGAGGCACAGAGAGCAGGAGCAGGTTGGTGATTTGGTAGCGGCCGAACTGGCCGAGCTCGTTAATCAGCAAATCGTCTAGATCTAGGGGCTTATTGAACACACTACCTTTTCTTAGCCCCGCATTTAGCCCCGAAGGCTCACTTTCACTGGTTCTACCATTCATTGTACTATTTTCTTTAAAAAAAAAAATTTCAGTCAGGCGAATAAACCGCCTATTGTCCGACAGACGAATAAATAGAACTAATTAGTTTTAAACCTAAACATGTGTTATCTATCCAAGAACAAGATTATCTATCAATACCAAGGATTATCCAACTCAACAGTGTTAACGATATTGAATATCGCTTAGATATTATTTAAAATTAACAATTACAGCAATAAAAATAATTCTCAGTCATAAATAAATCCTTAATCAGATACGCAGTAGTATGTGTTTTGGCGTCACCTTGGATTTCACTTTCGTTACTGAACTTGTGTGTTCTGTACTGAGTTTTGATTTAGATTTTATATACACTGTGAACACAAGACAGACACATTGGAATAGTTGGAAGTACATCGGACATAAAGATTTACCAGAATGTTTAACCGTCTTCAAAACAACTCTGTCAAAGAAAACTATAATAGTGAAAGTAATTGATAAGAAACTAAATTGCAAATACTACAATAAACGTGGTACTTAAAACAATAGGTAACATTATAAAGGCGTTTGGTACCCTCTGGTCTGTTTGAAGGTGGTGCGAAACCTGAAACGCAATATATACTAGCTGATTAACGAAGTAGAAACTCAATATAATGCTGATGAAATATCTACATACCGGTGGAGCTCATCACATGCCAGCGCCTACCGCCGCGGTATCTTCTAAACGCGCTCTTCAATGCCGCAGTTGATCGGTCTCGAAGCACGCTTACCAGTTTGCGGAAGGCCGGAGCACAAACAAGGGTACACTCTGCAATTCCAGCTCGGCGTGTTGGACTGCACGGATAGCGTAGTGGTTTAAGCGGTCACCACGCCGCTTCCTACTACGTCGAGTGTTGTGGGTTCAAACCCCACATGGGACGACACTTTGTGTGATCCACAAATTGTTGTTCTGAGTCTGAGTGTTCTTTGTGTCCGTTTCATGTATGTTTGTAAAGTCCCCCGCGACAGAGGATATGTTCCTAATGCGGGAGTTGTCTTTTTAAATAAAAAAAAAATAAAAAATTTGCCCTGATTTACTTGCCCTGACTGACTCGTTAATTTATCAACGCAGAGGCTAAACTGACTTCAACCGCATAATCTTCTAATGTTACAAACTTGTAATATTAGCAGCTGATGCATTTTATGTTGCAAGCACACACTATGATTTTTTGAAATTTCACCAATAAGGTGGAAAAATAAGGAATTAACGGTTGTATGAAAGATCGTCATTTTCAAAGTAAGAAACAGGAAATAAGAAATAATCAGGCAAACGAAGCCGCGGACACGCAGTAGGAGGATATAAAATACGAGTACCATCAAAGTACGAATCTGAATCGCTCACCGACAGTTCCGTGCACATTCGTATGTAGATAGTTCGTCGATCTTTGAACCGATTGTTAAATTATTAGCTACTTTTTCGGAAACACGAACGTAAGTTTACAATTCTAAAACTACTCTCAAATATATATCGATGTATGTAACAATCAATTTCTCAAGCAAAAAAAAAACCTTGCCGGGGTTTCCCCCCTTAAACGCACAGTAAAGCGATATAGCAAACGGCCTAAAACCACATAGTGTTTCGTCGTATAGACGATTTCAAACATTTGTTTTTTTTTTATGAAATCAAGATATTTTGAGTTTGAGTTTGACCTTGCATCTAACTAACTTTCAATCTATTTTCAATAGGATCCTATTGAATGTTAAATAAATCTCATACCTCCACTCGTTTGTAAAAAAGGGTCTTGATTGACAGATAGATATGGACAGACAGAGAGACAGGTAGCCAGGCGAATGGACATTGAAGTGGTCCTATAAAGATGTATTTTGAGGAACGGGAAAAGATACAAACTACCGAAAGTGGAATCTCTTTATCCTTAGGTCATTTAATAACAGATAATGAACAATAAAACTCTATAATTTACATGTTTATGTTGCTTCATTTTTAGGAAAATTAACACAAACGCACAAACACAAACAATTACTCAAAATTAACTGCGCATGTAGATGCGCAGTTAATTTTGAGTTTTTCCCTCGTTTTATCTTAGATACCATATCAAATCCGGACTCGACGACATTCGGACCAACGTTGGAGCAAAGCCTTTCTTATCCTCCTCTAATAAAAAATGTCAGACGTATGTTATCATTATCACGCCTCTTATTTGTAAGTTTGCTGTCGCGGGTTTCATGATCCAATGTAAGCAATCCTTTTTCGAATGTATTTATTAAAATACTTATCTATCTCTTGTCTTGATATACTGCTGCTGGCCCTTCGTGTAATTTTAATCAGTTAAGCGACCTGTTATCTCGCTTAATTAACGGCGTCCTGCCGACGACATCCAGCCCCAAACACCGCAAGTGATACGTCCGGACCTCCTGTCTTCCAACAAATGTATTGTTCCATAGCGATACTCGACCGTTACACTAGAATAGGTGAAAAGCTTTTCACAAAAACAAAACACCTATAACGATATATTGAAGTCATCATTTTTATTCTTACAATTAACACTAATGCCAAGTACTTAGAAAAATATACAGAGTGAAGAGATTTATTCAGCTCTGAAGGTAACATGGGAACATCTATATATATACAAAATAGCAGAATTCTTCAAAGGAAACGTATCATAGGTATCATCATACTATTCGATGTCGTAAATGATCACTAACATACTCGTAATAAGACATCATAATACGTAGGTCACTATGTATAAATTTTGAGACAGGTAAAAGTAAACAATGAACAACAGACTGCACGGATGGCGTAGTGGTTTAAGCGGTCACCACGCCACCTACTACTACGCTGAGTGTTGTGGGTTCGATCCCAGCATGGGACGACACTTTGTATGATCCACAAATTGTTGTTCTGAGTCTGAGTGTTCTTTGTGTTTCACGTATGTTTGTAAAGTCCCCCGCGACACAGGATATATATACGCGTTTGCGGGAGTTGTATTTTTAGAGAATAAATATATACTTACAATTTATATTACATTCTTCAAAATACTCTCCATCACTCTCTAAACAAATTTTACAATATTTTTGCCAATGTTCCTCGGTCTTTGTAATTTTGTTTTCAACTGGCCATCCGGAAACACCCATACCGAGGAACGCTTCTTGCTTTCTCGATCATATTGATATATCCATGTTTCGTCGCCAGTAATGATTTCACATTCCACACGGGTTTCGTGAGATTTGTCTGTTATCTGAGAGATCTGTCTGTTGTCTGTTGGATTGTTCTGAGATGTTATCGTTGGTTACCTCGTTTGCTAAAGTAAAGAATTGCTTTAGCAAACGAGGTATCCAACGATAACATAGCTAACTCATTCTAAGATGTTCATGTAATATGGCGTGAACATTAATCGAACTGATGCCTAAGATTTTCTCGATGTCCCTGTGTGTAATTCGTGGTTAAACCATCTAAAAATGGTTGCCCGAGAAGGAACGGATTCATATTTAGGACAGATGCGTTCACTTTTCAAAGTTCAAGCATCTCAAAACTTATATAGTGACCTACATATTATTATTATATTCAAGATCAATTGCAATTATCTGTATTTAATATAGTTACGCCAAATAAATGACACAATCGTCTCTAACGCTATTGATATTATTCCAGAACTAAATAGAATAATATAATAGCATAATATTCAAAAATGATCCATCCACAAAAATACAATAATTACATTTTGTATCAAATCTAGCTAAAATAAAATAATCATAAACAAATTCCACTTTTTTAAGTAAATAAAAAATACGAACAAAAATGGAACATACAATTAAGTATGTCACATTTTTTTGTTATCTAGTTACCGTCATATATTAATGCACATTACTGAGGAAAGTGCGAAACTCGGCAATAGTGATCGGCACATACTTATTTATATTTGCACTCCGAGAAATGTCACGTTATTTAGCAACTAATGTGCTTTGGGAGGTTGTCACAATTATTTCAAGTACTTTTTATATCACGTCATTCTGACGTCGCTGTACTACGTGACGTTTCTTCTGCATATCAATGACATGTTGCAAACTAGTAGTGCTATGCAGATGATATCACGGGAGATGCCCTTTACACCGGCTGCCCCAATATTTCTCGAAATTCACCGAAAGTCGAAACAAACTTGCGTCTGAAATTGAAACTTTCTTAGCGAAGGTTTCAGATTGGGCCGACTAAATCTACTCGTAGTCCAGTTTAACCCAAATAAGACACAGGCCTGTGCGTTCACCGCAAAAAAGATACCATTTGTCGTATCACCTCAGTTTGAGAGCACCCCTCTGTCTGCCTCAGCCAGCATCGAAATCCTAGGCATCGACATATCGAGCGAAGTACAAACAGATATTATTGAACTTGTTCCTGGGATAGATTTTATTGCCGATGTGCTCATGTGCCCATATTTATGCTTGAGACCGTACCAAAAACAGTTCTAAAATTGAAACATCCTACAAGGTAATACTTACTCAAATTTTTTATATAATAATTATTGCTTTATTCACCATAAAACATTTATAAGAAAATGATATAAATTACAGTTCAAAAAGAGATTATGGAACAGATAGCGCTGTAGCGACGAATTTCAAACGAACTTAGTTTAAACATTGGCAGCGCTGTACGCAAGGCTGTTTCCTTAGAGATTAGCACTGCTGTTGATCCGCCTGCTCGTGTGCCCCTGTACTATTAACTAAATGAAGGATGTAGCTAAAGAGAGACCAGTGAAGTTCCTAATTAGTTACTAAATACACGTGACACAAACAAAGTAATAGCGCGCACTAAACAAATAACATCTTTATCACACCGTGAAGATCTTTTTTATTATTATTTGATAACGAAATGACTAAATTCATTTATCAAATAATAATAATAAAGATTATTATTATTTGATAACGAAATGACTGAATCCGTTTTAAATAAAGTATCGCTCTTTTACTAGTTTTTATATTAAATAGATAAATTTAAGATAAATAAATAGATTTTCAATAAAATTGTGTCTGTTTTATAAATGATTGCGACTATTCAATTATATTTGTGAAATCCGTTTGCTCAGAAAGTTGACTGATCCAAAAAAACACTATAATTAGTATTACTAAAATCAATCTGTCAAAATCTAGTTCTGTAAAAATCAATCTGTGCAAAGTCGGTTGCCACTTAGCCCCGAGCCCCTCGGCTTGGGGCTAAGTGGCAACCGAGTTTACAAAGTTAAGCATCACTAGTCATGTCAGTGTTTGGGTGGGTGACCATTATTAACAAATTGAGACCTTTAATTAGGTAACAACAGTTATCGTTAGAATATAAAAACGTTCCATTATGTTTTAATAATGTTCAAAGATATTATTTCTAATCTATGTTTGTATAGATGAAGAAAAGTCTTTGTACCTCATTATTTAATGTTTTTGTGTAGAAAAAGTACAGAAAGTAAACATCTTAAACAATATCTGATTATAATGTAAAAATAGCTGAAAGAAACTATAGGGTAAATACTGGGTTTCCTTGGTGTTCTTTAAACGTTTTACATAATTGTTAATGAATTTTACTTTAAATATACGTTGATCTGTGACGATGTAAATGTCTATATAATGACGGTGGAAGTGAGCGACTGCGAGTGTGACTACGAGTCACTGATCTATGAAACGAAACGCTATGAAATAAAACAAAACAGTCGAAACCCGACCGCCAGGCGATTAATAATAATAATAATATATCACTTTATTGTACACCAGATATAAATATACATAATTACCTTAAACTAGTTCAGTACAAGTGGCGGCCTTATCGCCCAGAGGCAATCTCTTATAGGCAACCGTGGTATGGAGAGAAAACATGAAGAGGAGGAGGTATTGGGTAGTTGCTGGTGTATTAATAAAGAAGAATAAGAATAAGAAGAAGAAATCAAAGTAGTATGTACATAACTATAAAAAGTGATAATTACACATAATATCTATTTGTTGACCTTAGGTGAATATATAACATCACATCACATCAACAGCCTTTAATAGTCCACTGCTGAACATAAGCCTCTCTTTAGAAAGGAGTATTTGGCCTACTATACCACGCTGGCCAGACGGGTTGGTATAGGGTTTCTTTCAAGTTTTCCTTCTCTCTGCAGTGCTGGTGTTCTGCGTAGTTTTTTTTTCCCTTAGTCGTCTCTTACGACACCCACGGGATGAATAGGGGTGGTGACACTCCGTATTCTTAATCCGTCACCACACGGACAATATATAAAATACAAGGGGGAAAATATGGTGTTATTAGTTACATGTAATTAGATACGATGATTTATAAGTTATAAATACATATATTATAAGAAAAAGTGTGACCTTGTCGACTTAGTAGAAGTTAATTGACGTTGCCGTCTTCCAGGTAGTACTCTT